TTAGTGGCTCGTCCAATTTTCTTTGAGACGTTCTCGAACAAAAGGTTTCTAATTAATGATGATTCTTCAAATTTTACGCCATAATTTTTTCCATTTTTTCTATTTTGTCTCAACAAGTTCTTGAGACACGCCCGATAAGTTCTAAAGATGCTCGCTGTAAAAGTTCAAAATAATTGAAACCATTTGAGTGGAATTGTCATGCTTCTTTCAAAAATGGGTCAATGGGTTTATTATAGCCAATTTCCAAGAACAATGCAATATAGCATGACATTGAACAAAAGTAGGTCAACCAAGTTCGCCGGCGCACCTTGGAGTAATTGGGTCAAATGTACGACCTAATTAAAAAGGGGTAATCCCAAATACAGACAATGAAGAAAAGAATAGACATTCTGGCATTTAGGGCCATTTGTGGCGACAAGTATCAAACTGGATTGATATTATAAATCTTGTCGGCAACATGATAATCTTGTCGTGAAAGCGCGAGCACACGTCGTGAAAGCGCGAGCACATGTCAAATCGTGCTCCCGCACCATCATTGGACTGCTTTCGACCATTAACCCATACAAACCAAAAGTAATCTACCATAAAAAATAGTGTGTCGTTATTTAATAAAAAATAAAACATTAATTACTGAAGAAATGTATGTTTATGCATGATATGGTCTTTGAAATGAAATTTTTACCCTTGAACAACGTAAACAATGCCATACAATGTATTCAGACATTCGTCCAATTAAATTTAATTTCAACTATCAATGTGCAATTTGCCATACCTAACGACATATTCAACGAGCGCCTTTTAACAATTAATTTTATAAAACTGTTTGAAAAACACCTAATGGTTCGTTTAATACTGAAAATTTACATCCAATAGGTCGTTAAAATATTAAATTGGTTGTTCTAGCGTTATACCATTTTACTTAAAGTTATTCTGTCGTCTAATCTAAAATTTTCATTGCTAAAATAAGGAATCTATCCTTCTAGCGTTATGCCAATTTACTTAAAGTTATTCTGTCGTCTAATCTTATATATTCATTTTGAAAATATCAAATTGGGCGTTGTAGCGTATTACTGCTTAATTTAAAGGTACCCTACCCTCTCTTAATTAACAATTGTTTGCTAAATTACTACTGGTGTTCTGAGTTTTATTATCGCTTAGGCCCTTTTTTATCATTAGCAAGTTTGCAATAGTGACGTCATAAAACGCTTAGTTTGAGTGGAATTGCACCTTCTTCATAAGCCGAACCCTGCAGAACATTTTCTTACATTTTTAGTGGATTTGCAGGAACCACAGACGTCTGACTGAAAATTTGAATGTTGCAAATTGATGCTATCAGTGTCTTCGAAGCTCATAATACCTTTTGAAAAAAATAATTTTTTAATGGAATAACACCAGTTGTCAATGATTTATACATCTTTTGATGAAACACCTGCTACCAGTCTAACATTTAGCGTATCTCATATCTCAATAATTAAACTTGATAAGCTATTAAGTACTGACATGTTTATTAATAAAAGTCGATTAATACAATATTTGATAATTATTTAATTTATCAAAAGTGACAATCCACGTAATTAAAATAGGATAACATTTTCGTTCCTTTTTTCTGATATTATTGTCTCCATTGTAATCTAACAAGTTTATTTAATTCGATTAAACAGTCACAGACAGACACCTTTCAACTATCCTGGATAAATGTCCCTCATTAGTTCAATCCGTAAGACATAAAAATCTATTTCCATTAAATTTCATGGCAAAATTTCCCTCATTGTAAACTGCACGTTTCCATAAGCCCGATCAAAACAGAAAACAAAAGTATGACGTGTAATTCCATTTTCTTTTGTGACAAAATGTCCCTCATTGTAAACTGCATGTCTTCGTTAGCACAATCAAATTTAGAAATATGACGTAAAACTCCATTTCATTTTGTGGCAAAATTTCCCTCATTGTAAACTGCATGTCTTTGTTAGCACAATCAGATGCAGAAATATGACGTAAAACTCCATATCATTGCATTGTCATATCCTATTTGCTTTCCTGTTTGACATCGTAATAAAACTTAATAAAACGCTAATCGTTAGTTAGATATTTTGACTGTAAATTTCACAGTGTTATTCTACAGCCAAACGTATTTTCTAAGTAAACGTATAGTTTATTTCTAGACATTCGTCCGGAAACGAAAAGTTTGTCTCTTTCGTTTTTCAAACCACTGTAACAATAGCAAAATTGGAATATCGACAACGAATGGCGTGTTCGATTAAGCTCTTTAAAGGAATACCGCCTCTTAAAATGGACATACAATTTAAAGTCTCAAACTTGGTCAACAAGAGTATATATTCATCAGTTGGACTTACCAGGTGCCATGACCAAACAATAGAATCTCTATATAACACGATATATCAATTAAACTAAGTAATTATTGAAACACCCTTCCAAGAATGTTTCAAAATTCCTCATTTAAATGAATTATTACTTCTTTTTATGGATTTATTGAATTATAGAGGGATACTGTTGAATAGTTTGACACCTAAGTCCACTGATGAACAAAGACTCATTTTAACTAAGTTTAAAAATTTCAATTTTTCGGTCATCCTAAGAGGTAGTATACCTTTAAATATTGAGTTATCCCTGTCGAATAAGGTAAATACGAATAAAAGTTAATTATATTTCAATTCAATATGTAATAAAGTCTTTCAAGAAAAAATCCATTTTCTATTTGATATTTGTATTAATAACAAATTTTCCACTTTCGTTTTGAATACAGCCAATAATCCAGCAATACAAGTCTATATTTCATCAAAAGTTGCGATGTATTGAAAATCTTTACTGGTTATCAATAAGCTTTTGAAATAAACTACGTTTTTAATAATAGGATTAAATTTGGTTATATGATATATTGGCTCTTAGGTTACAAAGGGCAAAAAATGCTTTTCTTTAATAGTTACGTTAACTAATTTGTGACCTGATGTTACTTCAGTAATTAGTGAACTAATGTTGGTTAACTAATATAGCTCTTAACTATCTGTAACTTACATGGTCTTTAGGTTACTAAGAGCAAAAGTTTCTAGAATGCCAACTGATTTTTATTATATAGTCAAGTTGTGAACTAATGTTACTTAATTAGTATTACATAACTAATTTGTTAATTAATGTTGGTTAAGTAATATTACTTTTGTCTTAACTAATATAGGTCTTAACGATCTGTAACTTACATGGTCTTTAGGTTACTAAGAGCAAAAGTATCTAGAATGCCAACTGATTTTATTATATAGTCAAGTTGTGAACTAATGTTACTTAACTAGTATTACATAACTAATTTGTTAATTAATGTTGGTTAAGTAATATTACTTTTGTCTTAACTAATATAGCTCTTAACCATCTGTAACTTACATGGTCTTTAGGTTACTAAGAGCAAAAGTATCTAGAATGCCAACTGATTTTATTATATAGTCAAGATGTGAACTAATGTTACTTAACTAATGTTACTTAACTAATTTGTGAACTAATGTTTGTTCCTAGTTATATAAAAGTAGGTGGAGCTTAATATGTTTATCTCTGAATATCTATTATTATTGGTGACGTCATTTGTCAGTCTGTCTTGCCAAGGTGGGTGGAGCTTAATATGTTAATTTATGTCCTTATATTTGAAACTGTGTCAGTAGTCATATCATGGTATTAAGTGATTTTCTATAATAATCAATGCCGTTTGATCAGATTTAAAAGACTTGGAAGCATGGAATTGAAATTTGCCACGAACAGCTGCCGTTAAGTCGCTTCAAACGCGCAAGATAAATTGAAATTTTACAGACAATTTCGATTTTAATTTAGTTTTGTATATTATTCAGATTTTATATTAAAAATGAATCGAAGTTTTGAGTCAGTGGGCATTCGAGAAGTAGGCAACGTTATGTGTGACGATCATGATTATGTAGATCATTCGAGGGTGGTTTTTCTCTATAACTACGTGTTAAGTCAGCATCAATGCATTTTGATAAGGTACGCGAGTCAGATTCCATACGCAGCCATTGATCCGAAATGCCAAACGTCGCAAACAATAATATCTATCTAAATTCCATCTTGGACATCTATTAAAATAAGCGACCTCTTTAACACCAAATTTTTTACAAATTTTTGTTTCAATGAAGCTGATTGGTCGAAACATTGATCCTCAACCAATGAAAAATCGTATCGAAAAATAAGTCTACATAATCAAAATGATATTGACTATGTTGGATTGTCAAACCACAAGCACAGAATCATCCCATTTGAACCAATCCAACTACCAACTACTACGACTACCAAGTTTGCGACATCAGCATCCGCTGAAAGCCAACGTTAACTTGTCATCTCGACTTCACCGAGACATAATCATTGTAGCAGTATATTACACAGGGGTTCTTAATTTCCCACCTTTTTTTAACCAGCTCTGATATCAAAACACGTACACGGAAGCTGAGAGGAAATATATAAACAAAACATAATGCGATTTCACAAATTTGAAAAGAGACAAAACACCTTAACATATCGATATCATGATACATGCCGGATATTGCTATGCTATATTTTTTTTTAAAACTTCCCGATAACGCTTTGAGTTCCTGTAAACCTAACAGCAAAAACAGACACTTGTCTCTTTTACAGCTTGACAACCTGTTATATAATTGAGTATATGTGTACTAACAGAAAAAAGGAAGCAATTACAATACTTTGGCTCAGTATGCATTGATTCTACGCTAATATGTCTGTCCGTCGTTAGTTCACAAAAGCAAAGATCGAGTCCTGGAATATGATTAGGATTTCGGTAGGTTTGGACCGTTTGTCTCTACACTCCATACGATTGAATTGGTCGTAGGCGTAATTTTATCTGTTACGACGAATGTTGATAGCGCTGCTTTTAATGTATGAAGGCCTGACGCAGTGCCATGATGTCGTTTCAGACTAAATAAACCAAATAAAAAAAGCGGTATCAGGTGATCTGGAAATTACTAAAATGCGCTTACCTTATGTAATCATTTCGGCATAGGATCATGCCAGCTTTGTGAAAACAGGATGTGCCAATTTCTCCCAGTTGTGCTTGGCAGCAGGAACATTTTAAGCAGCCGGTATGCCAATATCTATCCAAGGCATGTAATAAGAAACGATCACAAATGCGACCACCACACCCGGCGCAAGCTTTGACTGCGGCGTTATTGTTCGTGTTAGCGTTCATATTTGTGTTTGATCCGGGGCTGGGTCCATTACTGCCCATTGATGTGTTCATTACGAGTTGTGTTGAATCGTGATTTCCTGAAAAGAGACAAATGAGCATACATTAACACTTTTATGAACTTTTAAGTATTTTAGAACGTGGACAATAACGTCATAATGAATACATAATAAAGTGATGTGCGACAATAACGTCATGTGCGTAAATGATCGCATAGTCAAAACAACGCCATATCCGCCAGACTACGTCGTCAAATATATATAACCGCATGAAATAGTCTTCGATGGATGAATGTCGGTTGTCAAAAATAATTCTTATAAATAAACCAAGTACTAACTATCCTAAATTCAAACAAAAAACACTATTAAAAGAGATTGCAAGTCAACAGAACATTTCCTTGGTTGAATACTACATGAACTAGAACGACAGAAGATGAACAAATGTCGTCAGATCATGGATGACAAATGGAGTCACCTTCGTGAAAAAATGAAACGAGACATTCAGGTGTGCATTTTAATTCAGAATACCAGTGAAAACACATTATCAAATCATTGTTAAAGCAGAGATCAATTACCATATACACAATTCTTACGAACGCATATCGTATGCAATAAAACAGTGAATAAAACCCACCACCTCAAAGAGAGACCTAACAATAATTTTCAATATAAAGTTTTAACCCAGTTCAACTATTGCTACCACTTGATATTTTCAATGAATGAAAGCTTTTTAAAATTCGTGTGACAAGCACTCGACGAACCGCCACTGCACTTGAGTACAAGCTGGCAAACCCCGGTGTTGGAAGCCATTCATTACTTTTAAAGACAATGGTTTCAATATTGTTTTTGGCACGAGTAACTTTCCTCTATAAAACTACATATGGAATTTTTAGTACGCCATACATTCTGAATTGACTTTCCATGCTAAAAAAGAGAACAGAATGGTCCACTTTTAGTCTTTTACCATGCTCGTTTGTCAAAGTTTTCATTCTTATGCCGGCTTCCTAGCATCGGATATTCTAAGTTTTCTATAAGTACAAAAGTGTGGCTAAGATTTTCGATTTGAAAGAAGAACAGTTAATGCCATTTTTAATGAAAAAAATCGCTAAAGTACAAATTGTTTCAGAAATTGTCCATGAAAAACGTAGACGATAACACCCAATCCTTATGACGAGCGTCAGTACGGAATGGTGCGGCACTCTTTGTCAAAAACCCAGTCTTAAACTGTCTTTAATACAACACGATACTCAAATAGCGCGATGTTTATCAATGTCCATGTTCAATTTTTTTGCGATATTCATCCTTCTAAAATAAGTCTTTCGGTGCATTCGAAACTCGTCGCCGTATTGTTATTGTAGACCGTATTTGTACGGAACTATCGAAGAATAATTGTCGCAATTACAAGAATCTAAAAAAGACCATACCTTACGACAAAATCACAATCCCAAATCTCTATATCGCAATTATTGACAATATCCAAAATGACGTATTTCAACGCAACACCTACTGTCTCAAACGAGTTCAGACAGCATTGTGTACGAAATGGCCGAACAATGATCGTCGTAAAAACCAGAAGTAAACATCCTCACAAACAAACAATCATTAGGTAAATATAAACAGAGGAAAGCTATGTCTCAATAGAGACGGTGATAGGAGTGAAATCTCAATACAATGACCGTGTTGTGAAAGTTCTTTGCTTTGTGATGCAACAGTCAAAGTCCAAGTCGCAAGAATTAGAAAATTAAACGAACTTGAAATGAACTGGACTCCTTCATCACATGAAAATGAAAATGTCCGCCGAACTTTGAAATGAAATGGATTAAAAAAAAATCAGCCGAAATTGAATATCTAGATTGCACTATGTTTCGAGTTTTTCAACTGTAAAGTGTCATCCAGGAAAGATCTTGGTAATTTCTGCCACAACCAAATGATCAAAATCACCAATAAGCCATTGCAATCTTTAAGAAGAATCTTAATATTTTGGCATGTTTCGCTAACCAATCAACTCAATATAATTTAAAATGACATTATTCAAAAAGTAACAAGCAACATCAAAGAGAAAAGAACACCAAATTTACCTAAAGTCGTCATATTCCTTTATGTAAAACGCATACAATCTGTATATTTTGGCAGGTTTCGTCAATTCAATCAGTTTGAAAATCTAATCTAATATCGCCTCCATCGCACATAAAATGAAGAGTTAACTATGAACATATTTCCCACGTTTGAAGTGAAAATTTGAACACATCCTCAACACCAAGACGTTCAAAAGAAACGAAAATTAAAAATCAAACATAGAGCGATGTTACCGATACGTTTATAATTTTTATTTATATATAACATTATACTTGAAACTTGGTTGGTTTGATTTGCCTCCTTTGAGCAAGACGGGGCCGATGGCATGAACGTAATATAAGATAACGTAACGGAAAAGATTCCGACTTGAATACAAAGCCTCCACAGTGTCTCGACCAAATGACATAATGTTTTTTCCAAGGGAGCCTCTGGGATTTCCATAACAGACCATAACTCGAGATTTGGCGATCCACAGCAGTCCTGCCATTAACTTTATGTTCAAAAGTGGGCGCTAAGCGGATGCGCTTACTCGTTCAACAATACCATCGCCTTTGTCCTATCCAACAATACAAAAAACCTGAACAGCTTAAGGTTTCTCTTCAAAAAAAGAAAAAAAAAAACACCCTTATCTGGGACATGTGCTAGTTTTTTCTTATCAAAACCAATTATAGACATCAGTCAAAATGTCCAAGGCCAGTTAGGCCTTTCAAACCAACCATAACAAAGTGGACGATGTATGTTTACCCACAAAATGGTGATAGTTAATTAAAGTTTGTCTTTTTATGTTGACATACCAATGTACATGCTAACGGATCGAGCGAAATTAACGTAACGGTACTCGCATGTTACGACCATTATCGTAATACCGCGACATTTTGGTCTTGATCCTGGTGAAATTAACTCGCATACATTCATGCAGTCGAGATATAATTGCTAATTGATCTGGTTGAAAGGAAATTGTGTCACTATTGTGAACTTTAAAGCGGTATCCCCTACGGCAATGAACGACAGGAAATGAAGCCACGTTTTATGTGCTACTGTTTGGTACCTTAATGAACGCATGAAGAAATGAGAAATTGGAAAACTGCTAAAGCATACCTAGCCACACAACACTCTGGTAATGATCTTGTTCTTCGCTCAGAACATCGAACCCGCTCGCTCCTAGCACTAAGTTCCCGATGCGTTGACTTAAACGTTAAAATCATTTTCAGATTTGTGAAGACGTGTTCAAACAAACTTGGTTCCAAATTCAATTGTTAAAAATTGCCTTAGAATAAGAAAAAAACCATTTTCAACAAATTACCTTCTAAAAGAAAAAAAATTCCGAAATTTTTGTTGAAAAACTCTTTTAGCTTAATTAAAAATATTCACCCATTCACTTAATTAGTTTAAAATAGTGCTTTTTAATTAGGAATTTAATTAGACAGAACAAATGAATACACAAGAAGGAAAACAAAAAACAAAACGCCAATAACTACGCGAGATAATTAAGGCCGTAACAAGATAGATTCAATTTCAGTTTCAAGTTGCATACCCACTCAAAATATCTTAACAAACTTCACAGCTTAATGGCGTTTGTTATTACACTTAATTCGCAATAATAAATCGTTTTTGGAGAACTTAGCTTGACTTGAAAAAAAAAAAACAACAATTTCTAAAGACATAACAATTAAGGTACATGTACATTAAGCATCGATCCCTTGAGATTATAACCCACGACCATCATTAATGTTCTCACTCACTCCGACAATGCTACAGAAACCCTTAAAAATGGTCATTGATAAATTTCTTTTAGGGGAGACATAATTCAACGTACGGGAATAAGGAGCCTAGTTCTAAACGTTGAAATCCAATCAGACCCTGGCTTTAAGTTGTTCTCAAGTCAAATCCGGTCAACGACCAACATTTTTTTTCAATGGAAGCATCTACTAAATAAACGAAACTAAAGAAATGATAATGATACAAAACAATTTAAACATATCTTAGAAAACAATCAGTACATTTTCAAAAAAACGAGGATGACGTGCAGACAGTCGCTTTATCAAAATGGTATATCAAACAGAATAGCCCCTGGCTCAACCGGAAATGGTTTACATTAAACTACAACCACAGCTATTCGGTTCAATATCTTAATGAAATACAGTTAACCTTAAAGGTTTCCTGTAATAAACGTTGCAAAGAAAGACGACAGCTTGCGATTTTGTGTTGACTTCAGACTGTAAACGAGACAAAAGTGAATACTAATGCGAACAGTATTGCCATCTTGTAGGAATAAATTCTAAGTTCACCTCAGAGTATGCATGTACTAATCGTTGCAAAGAAAGACGACGGCATGCGATTTTGTGTTGACTTCAGATGATATTTTTCATTTTTGTAAGCGACACTAAAGAGAAAACTATGCGAACAGTATTGGTATTGTGCAGAGACATGTCTCAACAAACTCTCGGCAATCCCAAATGCAAGGTGATACCAGGTATTCTGTAAGTGCGAATATCGTATAGGTCGCTAACTCCAATGAACTCAAAAGCATTAATATGTTACAGCAGAATAAAACCTCTTCAAAATTTGGTTTTAACTGTCCCCTAACCATTCTTCAATAGTGTTGTGGAAAATAACGACTAATTTGAATAATTACACAGCCGAGGTCACGTTTCGATATCACATGCGACATCATGCTACACAAAATGAAATGTTAGCAAAATAAACGAACATCGAATCTTTGCTCATTACTAACCAATTTATTTATTGTGTACACAACATTCTACAAATATCTTTATAAAAATAGATGCAAACTGCCTAATGACCCAGCTGTCGAGAAGGAAACGCCAGAGTCTCTAGCTAACCAAAAGAGTTCAAACCAGTTATTTATCAAGTTTATGGGCGAAGTATATTACGATTTAACAAACATATGAATGGATTATTATTATGGATGGTTTTACATTACATCATTTATTGAACGAGGACTAT